ACCTGCGCCTGCTGCTTGGGGGTCGTCGGTCGAGTTTGTTTCCGCTTGGCCGTCTCTCTCGGCGTGATCGATCGCCTCGATTTTGTTTTCTAGCAACTCGCTACGCTCTGTAGGCTCCTCCGTCTTACTGTCTGCAGTATTTTTCGCGTCATCGGCGGCATCGGCAGTAGCTAACAGAGCAGCCATGTGATTGTCTAAAACGCTCCTGGGCAAATATCTTTGCTGGAAAGCATGACAGTTCAGCACACGGAGGCAGTACAGCGCCATGTCGAGATGTCCACGCTTTGGCGCGGCCCCAGCAACGGATATGACGTCGAATGGGCGATGACACAACGCGCAGGGCGCCTGCTCCCTGTGATCAGAGCTGGGGTGGTTTTCGATGAAGTCCCGCACAGATGCGTGTTGGAGGGTAATGGTGTCCTGTTCGTCGAATTTTAGGAAGTTTCGTCCCGCAGACTTGAGGAGATGCATGGATGGTCGGTCGTCGTTCGCCAGCTCGTGTTTCTCCACCGAGACATCGCTTTCCGGTTGCGGGGGTTGTTCTGCTTCCCCAGCAAGAACGTGCTCGGGCTTAGACTCGTCGTCACCGCTCTCTTCGTCACTGCTCGTGTCACCCTCACTGTCATCACTTTCATCTCGATCACCCTCCTGCTGGTCATAAACGCCGTACTTGTCCTCGAGCTCGTCGGCCACGAAAGGGAACGAGATTTCGCCTTCACCACAAATGACCCACCTCAGAGCCACCAGCAAAGGCGTGCGTCTGGCCTTCTCGAGCTGGAAGAGCTGCTTCTCATACAGCTCCGTCATGTTGTTTGGGAGGCTCTTTATAAACTTCTTATATGAGATTCGGAGGGCCCCGGGCGCGTTCAGGCTGTCCACGGCAAGATTGGCATCTTGGAAACCAGATTAGCGCTGGATGTGAAATGAACCCCAGACTCTGCAAGAAGATAAGTGGGTAGAGAGAGCTAAACTTACATCGGAACATACCGTCTGCCTTCGCGGCAATCTTGTTGACGGCCTTTTGGCGTTCGGAAGGCTCAAATCGGTGAAGCTTAGCAAGTGACGCACTAACATATGCTTTCAGATCTGTGTCGGTCGTATCCTTCGTGACTTCGATTGTCGGTGGGCTGTAGTCTGAGAGAGCTTTCTCAATATCCGGCTCCGGTCGCGACGAAATCAAGATGCGCACGTTGAGATCGGCCGTCTCGGCTATCTGTATGAGTGCTTGGAGCAGGCCTTCGGTCCGGTCGTCGCACTCGTCCAAGGCGTCAACAATGATGTAAACCCGCCGTGCGGCAAACTCGCGGGCCATGCTGCTCAGAAGCGGCCCCATGCCTGAGCTTGTCTGAAACTGCTGGAAGGTGATGGCTAGCTTTTCCTTATCCGCAGCCTTCCGTGCCTCCTTAACAAGTTGTACACACTTTCGCTTGCGTTCCTTTCGCGTCTGCTCTGCTTGGTTGTTCTCGGCTTTGCTACTTGCGGGAGCAATGGCAGCTTTGGCACTCTGGGGGGCTGCAGGGATCGTGGTAGTTTTGGCGGCCCCAGCAGAAGATCCGAATTCATCGCCGCTAAGGCTGAGCAGCTGTAAAAGCAGATACAGCATGATGTAGTTGCCCTTTTGCAGCGTGTCGTTTCCCGCCTTACAGAAGAAAGAAAGCACAACTGGGCGATCCAGCTCTCGGCTGTCTTGCACCGGCCAGTCCTCGTGGCGGTCCTGGACCCAATCGATGACGGAGGACATGAGGATCGATTTACCGAACCCGGCCGGGCCCTTCAGCCAGAATAAACGCTTGGGAGGATCAGCAGGTGGCACCACTGTCCCGATCCAGCGCATAAAGCCCTCATCTTTCAATATCCATTGGCAGGTTCCTTGATGGCGACGCTTCAGATTGTCGCTCTGCGTCTCTTGCATCTGCTCCAAACTGGCAGGGTGGCCAGTCTCCAACCAGCGGATCTGCGCCGCCCAGTCCGCGTCCAACTCACGCTGTTCGTTTCGCTCCTTCTCGCGTACCTGATCGATCTGCATTGCCCCGACGGCCGACGTCAGCCCGTCCAGCTTTTCGTTTTGTCGTTCCAACTGACGCTCGATTCGGCCAAGCTCCTCCTTGGAAATTTGGAGGGACTCAAGGATGGCCTGTGTATCGGCATTCACTGCCTGGAGCACTTCGATGGCCGCTTCGTTGAAGGCGATGCCGACCGCGCGAAGCAAGACATCACGCTTGACCTGTGCATCGCTCACGATGTCCTTGATCTCCTGCGAACCTCCGAGCATAATAGCCATCGTGCGCCCTGCGTGAACCCTGTTAGCCCGCTGTGGTTTCGGCCCCATTTACGACCCCTCGTTGACCACAGACACAATAGATAATCGAGATATTGAGCTCACCAAATGCGCCCTTCTCTAAGAGCAACCTCCGCGACTGGTATGCGAACTTGAGCACCACCGCCAGTACCGGGGGAATCTTTTCGAGAACTTTGTCGGCGAGCATCCTGGACTCCGAAGTAGAGACGGACAAGCGCCTCATCTGTCGACGTGCGCATATCTGGCAGGTAAACACGAGGTCCGTCATCTCGTCCATGCTGTCGGTGATGAACTGGCACGTCTCCCAGCTCTGCGTGACGCCATTGGCAATCATGCGGAAGGCTGCCCAGGCGTAGCTTGCTGTCTCGGGTGCGAACTGCATTGCCTGGTCTCCAATGCGCATGATCAGCTCGAGCCGCTGCACTGCACGGACAAGTTTGACCTCAAAGAGCGAGCCCTTGAACAGTACACCGTAGTTCTCGGATGCCTGCTCCTGCGCCGTCTTCAAAGCAAGAATCGTGTCCTGGAGACTCGTCACTGTTTCATCGCGAACTTCTTCCTTCTCTCGCTTCCGCTTCGACAGCTCGCTCAGGAACCGGGCACGTGCATCGCGCCAGAGGTAGTCCATGCTCCTCTCTCCCGCATCAGAGGCCGCCTTGGTGACTGACCGTTGCGTCGTCGGCGTCGTCGGCGTTAACAACGTAGAGGCCGTACCGGGCATTGCCAGCGTGTTTATCGAGAGTTTTGTCGACATACTGTTCTCCCTCCCCGCTGCTCTCCTCTTCACCTCGTTCGTTTTTTTTTTTTTTTCGCTAGTGCCAGTGGGCACAGCCGCGAGGAAACTTTTGAAGTCTCTCAACTTCTCAGTTTATTAATCGCAACTCCTGCCCCCCGAAACAAAATTTTCCGCGTGCGAACTGGAAGGACAAGTCGCGCCGCTTTCTAATCCCTCCAACTATATTCGCAAGGCTGAAGCCAGTCGTCTGACACAGACGCCACCTGCTGCATATTGCTTACGCCTCTCAGCTGCAGTAGTATTCTGTACAACCAATGGCATTACCCCGCACTTAAACCTCACAACACCCGATAGGATCCTAAATACGAAGCCACGTTACGTTATTAGGCAACACTTAGGGTGCAGTACCACATGAATTACCCTGCCACTAATGCCCTCCAAAGTTCCAAACTACGGTTACACTGCAGAAGCCTCCTTAGCCTTACGTGTCTCCCCATATCTTCTAGCCATGGTAGCCTTAGCATTAATCTTCGTATCAGCCCTCTCGAGATCCAGTCCTTGCTTGGTTTCCAGCTATCCAAGTCAAGATAAGGGTCCATGTCCTCCCTCTCCAGTCCATTGCCGAAGCTCGTCCATTTCCTGAACTGCTTGTCCGAATTTACCGAAGTTGGAAACTTTACATCGAAGCCGCCATGCCTTGTTAAGCATGGGTGCCCGACGTTGCTGACAGGCTGGCTCGTACACAATCGTGGGCGATTTGGTGCCATTCGTGAAATGCACCGTCAAGGAGCGTGCCCTGCGGCTGGCGTGGTCCCACGGGTCGTCCACCAAATCTGCGAAAATGATATCACTTGACGACAGGAAGAGAATGAACAGATTAGCGTCTTCTCGAAAGAGGCCATCGATTGGCACGAAAGACGAGTCGGCAGTGAGAGATCCGGTGAGGGCATACGCGGACGCAACCCTGGACATTCGTTAGCGTGGCTTAATGCCCGCATATCCTAGATTGCACATTACCAGGGCGAATAATCGGTGACACCGGTGTTGTTTCGGAGATTGTACAGGCCAGACAACATCTGACTGCACTCGTAGGTGTATTATTCAAATCCGCTACCAGGACCGTAAAGGTATTTTGTGTCGGCCCTTTGATCGGTTGTGTTTATGATATCCGAGTAGCCTTTGGTCTAGATCCGCATATCCGGGAAAGTGATGACGCCAAAAGCTTCGTTGCTCTCCCGGTAACTGAGTCGATGATGGCATTTCCCTTGCTATTTGCACAGAGGCTGCTCCCGAATGGGCAGTCGGTGTTCGTGCTGACCGTAGCGCGCGTCAACAGCTCCTGCTGGACAAATATTGTTCACTCCAGGGTCCCGGAAGACTGGTTGCCTTAACACTGCTGGGAGTAGTTGTTCTGACTAGCCAGTTCTATTGCCAGGTCATGGTTGAAAATGTTTAGAACGTCCTCCATGCTGATATCGTTTGGGGTGTCAGACAGGGTACCGCATATATCTCCCCGGAGGAGAACCTCGAACCAAGCTAGGTCGGACACCCTGTAAAAGATCGGACACCTTGTAAAAGAACGGACACCCTGTAAAAGATCGGACGCCCTGTAAAAGATCGGACACCCTGTAGGAGAAGCCGCTGGCAAGGGCGAAATAGACAATGTAGAATGAAGTGAAGAGGAGTAGTGGTAGAAGGTGGGGACCCCGGTGCACCCTGCTGTGCCAGCGAGGGCAAGTCGATGTCACAGGTATTTGTCAAGGCCACTCGCTGCCGATGTAATTTCCACGGTCCTCCTAGTTAAACCGGAGGTGGATCGGGTGGTCAGCGGTGCGGTGGATCCTAGGAACATGCCGACCCCTTCATAGCGCCTCTTGGGACCCTTGGCCCCTCATCACACCGAGGCCCGGTTAGCTCAATGTAAGAGACGCCCAAGCAAGCTCAGGCACCCAGGCAGGCATCGAAACTAATCTCTCTACAGCGGTAGAGCGTAAGACTCTTAGAGAAAATCTTAAGGCTGCGGGTTCGAGCCCCGCATTGGGCTCAATTCCCGATGCGCCTTTCGTAGAAAGGCACTCGATAACTTTTTTTTGGCAGCTGGTATTTTTTGGTCTTCCAATTTTGGCCCCCGCTGACGACTCCTGGTGTTTTGATCGAGTCAGGGGCTTAGGGTAGGGCTAGTGGGGGTTAGGGTTGACCATGGTAGAGGAAGTCTGCCCACATGAGCCTCATGGGCGGACTTTGCCCAGACCACAGCTGCTGTATCTTCACCCTGTAGAGAGATAGTCCCTGGGGTGGATTCATCTATATGACTGGTCTGGCCTTTTCCACCGAATTTCCATTAGCGGTAGCCGTCCTGAATCTGCCTTCGGCTTCTGGCCATCCAGGTGCCCGGTGCTAGTTCAGTACCACATTTCAGCACCACATTTCAGCACAATCTGGGCTTTCAAAGCACCACTGCCCGTCACCTAATGGCTACCCAGCTCCCCACCAAACGATTTAATATGAAGCATCCCAATCAAAGAAAAGACGCCCGTCTTCGTCGTTGAGTACGTCTATCCATATGTGATTTTTAAGCGCATCTCGGGTCTCCACCCAGCTAGTAAGGCCAATAGCCTTAGTTGTATCATGTAGCTTGGCATGCAGCCAAGATTTATCGTCAAGGCCATTTAGAATAGATAAGCTACTTACCATAATCAGCCAGAGATTAAGTTCTGGCGGGCTCTCATTGGCGGTGCGGTCGAGCCACCGACGCAGTAAGGTCCTTAGCTGCTCGCCGAGATGCGCGTAGCTTTGTCGAATACCGTAAGTGTCAAGGAAGAGAGTCGTTGTGAAGGCCAGCAAACCCAGTCGGAGGAGCTCATGAGCATCGTCGCTATCGTAACTGAGCTGTAGCAAGCGATATTGTCCCGAAACCAAGGTTTCTTGGAAGAGCTCGGGGTCTATCTTGCGCTTCGCCTGGACGGCAACGTTGATGGCCCGTGCGAACTCCCGTAGGTCTAACCAGACATTATCGAGCCGGGAATCTGGGTTTTCGCACAGGCTCTGGATTGGTGTGGTCGTTGGAGCCACGGTTCTCGGATCGGCGACGTATAGTGCCCACGAGATGTTGTCTTCGGCGAAGAATAATGGCCTGGAGCCTGTCTGTATGGCATGAGCGAGATCAAGTCTGGCGCTATAATTAGCATCAAGGTAACGGCTTGAAGTGAGAAACCAACCTGCAGATCTTCATTTGGAGAGACCGTTGCGCCACGAGCGCTGCCAGCCCTCCTCTCAGCATCACCATGCGATGCAGACCATGCAAATGATTCCTTGCTGCTTCGAAGTCTCCCAGTTCGTTTGTTGCCATCGCCAGCGACAGGACGACAAAGAGGATTGAGTTTGACGGCGCGAATTGAACGCTAGTCAATCGCTCTCGGAGATAGGAGATGGTCTTGTTCATGTGAACTATGGCCCTAGTTCCGACTTTCTGGTAATGGAGGAGATCAAGGTATGCTTGTGACAGAAATACCAAAGCATGGACATAGGCAGGATCCTGCCCTAAATCCTTGATCCATAGTCTATTGTCGTCGCCCAGGTCCACGTAGCGTTCGATAGGATGTATGAACCCTTTCATGTGGGCAAGGACTAGTTTTTTATGATCGTGTCAATAATTACTGGTGCTTCGAGGAATGCAGACGAAAGCTCTCACATTCGTACATGAGATGTACCATGTAAGGTTGCACATCGGCAGCGAATCGGATTACATTGAGATCCAAGCTAGTAATTAGCGGACATAAGCCCAGTTGCGCCCCGGTCGTCTGGACTACAGCCCCAGCTCCAGCTGGACGAGAGTTGTCTATATCTTGGCCGCCATTTATCCAGGAGCCAGGAACGGGTCGATTGGGAACCGCAGGCCGGCGCTTGCGGCCGGTCATGGCCTGGCTGCGGATCAATCGACGGGAATTTTCATCGGGCTTAATGTTATCTCGGCCAGTAGCTACGATGAAAGTATCGTAGGCTACTGGCTGGATCCGTTTGGATGTTCGCCTGGGGCCCTTGTCTCTCGGAGCTTCCTTACCCGTTGATCCGGTGGATTGGTGGGCGCCGTCCAATTCCAACGAGTTATTGGAGGTCTCAGGGGCATTTTTGGGGGGCCAAACAGATGAGACACTTCCAGGCTTCATTTCGCTGTAGCTTCGCAGGTTGATAGGAGGCGGATATAGTGTCTACCAGCGGAGAGTTCGGGTCTGTAAGGAGAAACCGCAACGGTTCTTGGCGTGCGTGACGCTCCTTTTGGGTCCATTCTGACAAAGCAATAGCCCCCATAAATTAAATGCCAAGGCCGTTGCGTTTTCCGCTTTCGGAATAGTTAGATGGGCTCGTTCCCTGACGTCAGGCTATCAGAACGATCACAACACCCTATAACAAATAAGGCTAGCCACGGAAGACCTGGTGACGAATCTGCGTCCGCAGATGTGTTGCGCATACAGTGCAGTTATTACCCAAGAAGACAGGATAGTCCAACTTGGCAGCAGTGAGACGGCACAGGTTTCGACATAGAGATTTAAGCCTTGCAGGGTCTCTTGCTGGAGCTATAAAATGCATCTGCTCCCAGTCGCTAAGATCCAAACGTCACGCCATGTAGCGTAAACTTTGTCACGTGTTAGCCTGCGCAATGTCGTCAACTGAGTTGTGGGTGTTTGCGAAGCCCGTCCTAAACCTCGCCGGGGTCATTTTATTATGCACATTGATACTTGTTATCGTGACTCTGTCGCCTTATGCTCTCCTCAGTTCTCGGCCAAAGGACTTCCCTCCCGGTCCTCCCACTGTTCCAATCTTGGGCAACTTGCACCTGATTCCACCTACGAGGTCCTTTCTCACGTATGTTTTGAACCGGACTTGCTATGATATGAAGTCACTGATATTCTTCTACAATTAGATTCAAGGAATTAAGCAAGAAGTATGGCCCCATCGTTGGACTCAAGTTCGCAAGCGCAAACGTTGTTGTCCTTAATAACTACAAGGATGTTGAAGAGTGAGTGAGCACCACCCCGATACTACAAGGCATATGCAAACCGGGAAATATAGACTATTGGAGCGGCGGGGAAATATCTACTCGTCTCGCCCGCCCAGCTACATTGCACAAGAACTCATCTACCCCGGCGACTTGCATATCCTCATGAACCCCTACGGTCCGACCTGGCGCGCGCAGAGGCGTGCTACGAATCTTCTTCTCGCGCCCCGGGCCTTTGATGAGCTTCTTCCAAGGCTCGAAGCGCCTACCACCCAGTGCATCATCGACATCCTCCGTGATCCGGCCAACTACTACGAGCTTCTGCGGCACCTTGCTGCAAACATCATGTTTGTTTCCGTGTATGGACTGCATGGGGTGCAATTCGACGACCCGCGCATCGCGGCCCTGTTCGATACGCAGCACCGGATGAAGTCACTTCTCGAGCCTGGCGCAGCACCGCCGGTCGATGCTATCGGCTTTCTACGCTACCTCCCCGAGCTACTCGCCCCGTGGAAGCGCCAAGCACGCCAGCTACGCGAAGACATTCGCGAATTGTATGTGGGTGAGTATACTGCGGCCAAAAATCGCCTGCAAGATGGAAGCGGAGCCGGGTGCTTCGTCGACAAATTGATCCAGGAGCAGGAGAAGCTGGGGCTTGACGAGGAGCAACTGGCATACGTTGCAGGTTCCATGCTAGAAGCTGGCTCCGACACGAGCGCGAGTCAACTTCAGTCGTTTATCTTAGGATGTCTTCAGAACCCGGCCGCCTTGCGCAAGGCCCAAGAAGAAGTTGACGCGTGCTGCGGGCTGAATAGACCGCCATGCCTCGCGGACTTGGACCAGCTACCGTATATCGAGGCATGCATGAATGAGGTCAGTAGACTAAACTACATTACGATTTGTCACTTTCTACCTCATATACTAACCATAGCTTCGCCTTCACAGGTTCTTCGGTGGCGCCCTGTAGGCCCAGCTGGCGCTCCGCACATGTTGACGCAAACAGACTCATACAAAGGGTACGTGCTGCCTGCGGGAACAATTGTGTTTGCAAACGCATGGGGTCTTCAGCACGATGAGAACGAGTACGAGAAACCTGACCTGTTCAACCCCGACCGCTGGCAAGGCAATAGGTATGGGACCAAGTATGACTCAAACGGACTGAGCACCAAGGATCGAAAATTGACGTACGTCTTCGGAGCTGGGAGGCGGATTTGCGGCGGGCAAAAACAAGCCGAGGTGACACTCAAGCTAGCCATCGCTAAGCTTGTCTGGACATTCCAATTCACAAAGTTGTCAGAAGATGAAACCAAGGATATCGACACAAACCCTGTCACGGCATACACAGCAGGATTCACGATGGCGCCACACAAATTCCCCGTGAAGATCGAGGCACGGTCAGAGAAGCACGCCCAGATGATTGTAGCCTCTATGGAGAACATAATGGCACGACAGGGATAAGGCAAGTAAAGATGGTTTTATTAAACTAGTTATTATGCCTATTCGGCAACTTGGCGATCAAAAACTGCTAGGCTACAGTGTTAAAGTTGAGGGTACTACCGCATTAGATCATTCCATTGTCTGCGAGAAGCACATTACCCTTTTAATTTGCGCAGTTCTGGGCGTACTTTGGGACGTCGGACGCAAGTCCCAGCCAGGCGTGTGTAACAACAATCCAGTTTACAAGATTGAGCCCCCAACCCATAGTGTAGCAATCCGAATCACGCAAGAGAGGCCTATGGGATTGCAGAGAGACCCTCGACGACGAGAATGTGTTAGAAACTTCCAATCTTTATGTACATATCTCACAGGGCCTGCTGAGCCCGAGTAGTAGAGCAACGATAGCCTCCTACAAGAGCTCGGAAGCGGAGGACATTATGGCGCCGCTCTTCTCTATCCCGGATTTTTTTTTATCTCTCACCGCTTGACTTATCATGACCTGAGTTGAGAAACTATTACACTAGAGACGCGACAAGAACATCAGGCTAAGCAGACAGAGCAAGCCTACCGACTCAAGCCGTCCAAACTCGGTACCGAACTTCTCCGGTCA